TTGAGCGAGACTCACCCAGCACCACTACACTTGTCGTCCCATCGCCTACCTCCTCATCCTGTGCTCTGCACAATTCCAGCACTGATTTGGCCTGTTGGGCATCGTACAGAAGCGTATGCCGTAATGAGTAGGAGCGTCTAGGTGCTACACTAGCATCAAACACTCACAGCAGGGTGTCCCACTTCGATTTCCCGCAGAATGGCAGCTCCATCATTTGTCAACAAGATGCTGCGACGAGTCAAAGGATTCGAGATTAGCATACAGTCGAGCGCGAGTGCGAGTGCGAAAGCGAGTGCGAGTGCGAGTGCGAGTGCATGCCACGCTTTCGGACCACTCTTCTTCTTGCTCACCCTCCCATAGGATCTAGGATCATCTTGAGCATAGCTTTGGGACCCAAACAGCTCCTGATGACATCCGCAACAGCTTTGGAAGATGCGATGTTGCTCTCTTGCGTCTTCCTACCGCTCAATCTCTCCGGTCCCTGGTTCATGACGAACACGTTGGGTTGTCCCGCCATCTTGAGAGTACTGCTACGCCTGCTCTTTCGGCGATCGAGTCAGAGAGGGGCTTGCGGGTGTGTGCGTGTGTGTGTGTGTGTGTAAAAGCGTGGATGGCGAGGCCTTTTCGTGAGCTTGTCCAGAGAAACAGAAGGGTGGCACAGAAGAGAGTGATGATATTTTGGCCTTGACTGTGACTTGGATTCATCTGGAATGCAGACAGACGAGCCAACTCTCAGAAAGATAAATGTCTATATAACAAACGCGGCTTCTCCTACCTCCTGCTTGGTCTGATCGCGTCGGAACGCCGTGCTGAACGCGAATGCGCATTGCATTTTTGATTCAAATTCTGAATTCTTTCATTCATTTTTCATTCAACTTGCCCCCGCCTTACAAATTTGATGAACAACCTCGTGTTGCGCGCGCGCGCGCTGGGTGGAGAAGGTATCCGCGGTAGGCGCATCTGCAAGAAGCCAGTCGATGTTCCATCTTTGCTTCCACGTGGGGTGGGGATGTAAGAGTCACGTGGTTTGAGAGCAGACGAAGCATGCGCAGGCGCCGAGTGCACGGCCGCGGCGCTGCACCACAAAGCGTGCAATTAATCCGCACAGCCACCGATCGAAGCGCTGATGCACAAGACACAAGATCACAGCTAGCAATTCGTGATTCGTGATTCGTGATTGACTCGATCGACTCACGACTTTGACTGTGTGCCGCGGCACGGGTGCGTGCTGCCAGCTGCCACGAATCGCGAATGCAAAACATACGGCAGTCACCAGTCACGAGTCACGAGTGTGATGGGTGCGACTGATGCCCAGACAACACCTATAGCGGGGGCCATGCATGTTCTTGACATGACACGCCGTTATGCTGCTACCCAACCTCGACTCTGACTGATGTGACTGCCACTCGCGACTATTGCATGCATGCAAAGCACGCCCGCCCGTACCTTCTGAGTCACTAAGTGATCATCGCTCCTCGTCGTCCTGCTGTCCATGGTCAAAGGTCGCATTATATGACCTGCAGTCGATCACTCACAACTCACGATTCGGTCGGGTGGATGCATGGGTGCTGTTTCCTGTTAGGTGCTTCATTGACAAGGATATATATATGCAGACGGGTAGACACGCTATCATCATGCATCCATTCTAAGAGTCCAGCGAGCGCGCATGTATGGGCCGTAGACGACGGCCTGGTGCTATAGCCCAGTCGATTTGCTCTTTCCCGCATTCGCCTCCTCACCCAGCAGCTCGCGCTTGCTATAGATGGGCGTTGGATGATTGCGACAGCGTACGGCAGACTCACACGACGAATCCGGTATGAAATGCTCTCTCTCGCTACGCAGAAATGACTGATCTATGACTACGCCGTCAGCACTCGATCGTCAGAATTCTTCTCTCGTCTGCGTCAAAGCGCCCATGCATGCACCGTCCACTCTCCATTCACTCACACTCTCAATCAACGCGCTCACAACGTCTCGAACGCAGAAGATCGCGGCTAAAAGCAAATTCTTCCTGGAGCACCGCAAATGTCAAGAGAATCACGAATGCGCATGTTGCAGCAGCAGCAGCAGAGTCAATTAAAGTCATACACATATAACCTAGCTGGGTCAAGGCGAGACCGCGGAAGTTGTTGTGCCAGTCTGCTGATGAGTGCTCATCGTCTGCAAGGAGACCGTGGATGCAGCGCGGCGACCGTTAAGGCTCAGCGCGGCCGGCAACGACTCCATGCTGGCTGTCCCCCTTTATAA